AGTAGTGCATATTAAAGAGATTGCTAATAGATGGACATGATATTGTGAAAAAATTGCCGGAGTGATGACTGATGAAGTATCAGTGCCCCATTCACCACACCTTGGGAATTCTTGAAACTCAAGGACAGACCTAGAGATGATCAGGGTCTCTCGTTCACCACACCTTGGGAATTCTTCAAACTCGCGGACAGACCTACAGATGAAATGTGATCAGTTCTTCCCAAGTCGGTTTCCCCCCCCCCCCCATGCAATCCTTGCGACTACCCTTCGAGGTCACAGTCTTAGAAAACAGTTCAAAACACCCTCCCAAGTACAACTTGAGAAGGGTGGCAATGGGCCCCTCGGCCCTTGGGTTTCAAGGATGTGAGGATGCATCAGATATTTTGAGACAACTGCACGTGTGACCGGTGTAGAGTTCCGAGTTTGCGGAAATAACTGCAAGTCCGGGCGAAGAGCAGTTACAAACTGCAAAAAAAACAAAAAACCATGCTTCCGACAGCCTGCCAGTTCAACAGTTGGCATAAATGGGAGGTACCAGTACCGCTACAGGTCGTTTTCTCGAGGGCTGGGGCTAGAGCAGGTACCGGTACCGACCTTCCTTTTTTTTTTATCATGGAGGCGGGTTGGAAAACAACTCGCTGAGGGGCGGGGTTGGAAAACGACTCGCGGAGACCCGTTTTTGCCGTGGCCCAGCCACGGGCGTGGCCTAGACATCTCGGCCGTTGCCCAGCCACGGGTGTGGCCTAGACATCTCGGCCGTGGCCCAGCCATGGGCATGGGGGAAAAAACGGGGAAAAAAATAAAAAGAAAAAAAAAAGGTGTGTAAAAAAAAAAGGTGCGAGGGTTTACCCCTCGGTGTAAGGCCCTGCAGCAAGCGCGTGCCCGCCCTAAGTGAAGGCGGCCCCCCTGAATCTCAATGTGCCCTGAGTTCGTCAATTTTTGCAAATCTTGGTGGGCGGCAGACAGTTGCCACACGTCAGTGGGTTACATCCCCGTTGCTCGTGAGGATCCAAAATATTTGTGAGCTTTCCAGATTCTTTCAGCAATGTGGTCGAAGCACGAAGCACCGCATGTTTGTGCCTGGGTGGTTGGGCATGCCTAACCAATTCGGTCCGAGGCCACTGTCTGAACGGGCCTGGGCACAGACACTTTGGCCCAGAGTGAAGCTACTGCAAACTCGGTCACACGTAGCAAACAAGGGAAAGCGTCCGCCACTTTCCGTATAGGAAGGGTCGGGCTCCGTATGGGGGGGTGGGCACTATGTAGTGCATGCGGCAGTGCTGTTTGAGCGTGCTCTCGCGGGCTGTGCGTTGTGCGCTAGCGCTAGGTGCAAGACAGGCACATGCGGGCGTCGAAGAGAGGCAGGGCGCTGCTGAGGAGAGCGCCATAGCCAGCCCGACCATAGTCGGGCACGGCTTGGACAGTCAGCGGGAGTTGGCGGTGGTCTTCATGTATGAGGGAGAAGACGTGGGTGAGAAAGTCGAGGATGAGAGAGAGCGAGAGACGAGGTTGATCATGTGAGGGCACGTACCTAGTCTTGGTGATGGTCTACAAGGGTCGACATCTTCATGTACTCTGGTTTTGCTGCTGATGTCAACTGGATGCATTGTCAATTTGTAGGCTGCTAGTAAGCTGTGCAATCGTAGTCTGGGCGTTGAGCGCCAAGTAGGAGGAAGGACTCTGGATACATATTTTGGTGGTGGTGAGTGTATGCTCTCATTGACATTCGGATTCGGTGCTCCGGTTGTCCATTGTTAAAATATCAGTGCATTTCTGCTTTCTGGACAGCGTTGGACTTGTTGGCTTTCAATGTGATTTTGCATTCTGGATTTCTGTCATTTCGCTATATCTCTTTTTCCTTGCAATTTGGTATCGAAGGTGGTTTGTGCCGCTCCACTGGCTCCATCGCAATAGCTGTTTAGTGTTTCACTAGTCATGGTGGGCCAGTGATAACGCTTGTGCGTTGGTGAGAAGTCGGCCCAGGGTCATGTGGGCGCGCCAAGAAGGCTATGTGGTGACATATAGGGGTGCACGCTGGATGATGAGAACTTGCTGATGTGGCATTTAAGTCGAGGTGTAACTGCATTGTATTGTGGGTTATGTCGAGGCATCGACCGGTCATCATAAATGCACGTCAAGTTACCGGTGAGAAATTTGTGGTTGGGGGCAGCACTATGAGGTGCATTGCTCCTTACCTTATCTACCCTCTTCATTGCTTCTTACCGTGAGGAAGTGAGTTCTGTCTTGAGAGTCATCGCATTGTGAGGTGTCGCGAGCACTCAACCTTGAGAGTCGACATTCTTCCTGGTGAGCAAGCTGGTGGGAGACGGGTGTTGCCTCTGCAGGGCCCTGGACGAAGCACCCGGGTCACGGTCACCATGCCCACCCGCAGGGACTGGTACACGCATGCTTTGCCGTTTGTCTTTTGGTCTGCTTGCTGCGCTATAGAGGTCTTGTCGGGCAGGCCATCCTTATGAGGGAGAGACAAGTATCGGACCATCTATAAATAGACTCTGGCGGTGATACACAACTCGTGTTGTACACGAGTATAAAAATAGTTCGGTCGGGGCTGGCCAGTTCTGCATAGACTTGGGGCACAGGGGTGGGCCGATTGCACACCTTCAAACACGCCATTGAACCAGAGCTTCAGGACGTTGACACTAAGTGACCACTCAAGAGGGACACAGGGGGAGGGACGATTCTAGTAACTGCTCGATTGTTACATTATTGTATAAATTCCATTCTGCTCGCACACCAGCAAATGATTTATTTTTATTTTTGATTAGTTAGTTGTGACGGACGTCGCTAACAACAATCAGACAGCTGTAGATAGAGTAGTTAATATTCTTGGCTGCATTGCAATCTGTTTCAAACTAGTCAAAAGTAGGAATAGAGTTGTTTGTAGGAATCTGAGATTATCTGGTGTTACCGCTTCGCTATTTTCTAACACAACTGGACCGAACTGTTATTTTTATTTTATTGTAATCAGTTGGATGCCATGTTGCGGTAGGTCCCTAGTGTAGACTGCATGCCACGCATAGCCCATGAGTGGAGAAGACGGCGAGGTTGAGGAACTAGACCAGGGAGATAGGAGACTTACCCGTAGACGTGCACTCAGGCGGCCGATCACTTTCTTGTTGTTACAGTCAGGAGAGGAAGGAGACTGAGGAGAGAAGCTAGGGAGAAGGGCATATTGCGAGGGCTAGGGAAGCAGCAGCCAACGTTGAGAGGGCACTTGCACCAGCCACAACAGTAGAAGCTAGAGCCACATCAGAGGCAGCCAAGGCTATTGTCTCTTCTATGTGACAGGCCTCTTCACAGGCCACTTCGTCAATTACAAGTTCGGGTACTTCTGGAACTTCCGCTACCAGTTTGTTGGCTTGCAGGTCAGCCAGCAGCACCAACTGTCAGCAGAGGATTATCAGATCCAAGAAGCGGACGCTCTCCGCAATGAGTTACAGCTCCAGTTGCAAGATGTGGAGGAGAGAAGAGAAAGAGCTAGACTTAGAAAAGTCGGGCTAGAGTAAAGGGTAGAGGAGCTAGGCAAACTAGAAGCTAGAGATGAGTCGACACTTGATCGTGTGGTTCTGTCCCTTCGGAACTCCTTGCTGAGTGTAGCCGAAGTGCAAGTCGTACAGCAAGAGATGTTGGCTGCACTGATAGCTGGTTAGAACCAGATTTTGACGGCATTGCGGGCGCCTCGACCTCTGGTCAGGCAACCACAATTTGTTGTAGCCCCCCTTACGGTTGCAGGTCCTGTGATGACGCTTTCGCCAACAGGGCAGCCCTTTGCCTCACAATTTGGCATACCCCCACCAGGCGGAGTAATAGTAGGTAGTAGTGGGCAGATTCATGTACAGCCTTCTCCATTCCCCCATTCAGTGATTGCCGCTACAGGGCAGCCACAAGTGCAGCAGCCCTTGCAACAGGGTGTTGTACAACCTATGCATTGGACACCCAACTTACCCTTGTTGAGTCCTAAACCCTTCTCTGGCGACAGAAAAAAGGACAAGGACCTGGATACCTGGGTGAGGATTGTGCCTAGGTATGTGAGGCATAAGCTTACCAGGACAGAGGAGGAAGTCATAGTCGTTGCATCCTTTCTAGAAGGATTTGCAGCTAGGTGATTGAATGGGTTACTACAGTAGCAGGGCTACGGTGAGAATTTCGATGGTTGGGCACAGGCCAGATCGTGTGAGGAGTTTGTACGGTTAGTCAACAGCAGGTGGCATGATCCCCAAGGGGCTCGGAAGGCCACAAACTCGCTGGCTAGTTTGGGATCGAAGAGATACCAGACAGCTCACGAGGTTACAAACGTCGTAGAGCGACTGATCGTTGTCCCTGGCGTGCGGTACGAACCGCAGGTTCTCTTGACAACTTACTTGCGATGTCTGCCTACAAACGTCAAAAATAAGTTGGTCGATGTCCTCCATCGATGTACATGATTTTGCTTCGTCCAACAACAAGGCCTTAGATATAGAGGCTAGGCTTGGGAGTGCCCAACAGGCACCAATAGATGGGAGGAAGAAGAAATTCCCTCAGGATTGGAAGAAGAAGGGCAATCTTATGTTTGTTGACCAGGACGACCAATCAACTGAGATTCACAACTTCTCTAATCTTGGGGAAGAAACAAAGATAGATGGGAGTGGGAATACCTCAAATGGTGGAGTAGCCGCCCCCATTAGAGAAAAGGGTAAGGGGTCCGGAAAACAGAAGGTAGGTCGGCCCAAGGGTCAAAATGACCAAGCACCACCCATATGGGTGAAGCTTGGTTTGGAGTACGAGGTGTGGCGAGACCGTATTGCACGAGGTGCTTGTCTCAATTGTGGTCGGTATGCACACACAATGAGCAAGTGCAAGAGTAAGCAGCTCGCTACGAAAGTCGCGTCCTCAATAATGACGGTTGGATCTCCCAACTCTGGTAATGCTTTTGTGAGCACCTCCCAGGGAAACACCTCGGGCCAATAGGAGTGTTAGCCGCTCTTACTCGTGCTAAAGTGGTTACTTTACCTTCTCCATTTCAGACGATGGCCAAGGCTATTGACCCCATGATCGCCCCGCAGATAGATCCGGACCAATAGATGCTCTGTTCGATGGATGTGTTTGAGTTCTCAGAGGAGTTAGAGACAAAATGGTTAGAGAAAGATCCTAGAGACTCTTGGGCGATGTTGAACAAAGCTCCAAAGGGTGAACATTTCGTGGTAGAACTCGATGTGGGTGGGCGAAAGGTTGGTGCCTTCGCAAACATAAGTTCTACACGGAATTTCATCAGTCGTGCAAAGGTTGGTGCCTTCGCAAACATAAGTTCTACACGGAATTTCATCAGTCGTGCTTATGTGGATATGTTGCGCTTAGGGGACCAAGTGCAGCGGCTTAGCAAATTTGTAGCATCAACCTTAGCCAACAAGCACTCGATCATGATAGTCAGAGACTATGTCAAGGACGTAGTCTGCACCTTCTCCTATGGAGGAGGGGAACTGAGACACAAGATCTCGTTCCTAGTTAGCGACGAGCTGCCATTCGACATGCTGCTAGGAATATACGACCTCGAGTATGCTAAGCCTCAGTTCGATTGGGATAGGAAGGTGATGATCCACAAGTTGCCAAATGGAAGGAGCGTTAGGCTGCAAAAGTTTAAGGTTAGCAGACTAGTGGAGAATTATGGTTGCATGTGTGCATCGTTTTTCTATAACTATTACAAGCATAATCGCAAGGAAGGTATGTATCTAGTTTTTGTCTCTTAGAAAGGGGAGGTCATAAAATCACCCACAAAGATGGAAGCAGTCTTTGCACAATATTCAGACCTCTTTGAGGAGCCTAGGGGTGTGGTTGAAAGGGAGATTGTCCGCGTGATAGAATTCGTCCCTGGTAGCAAAGTACCTAGAGGGCAGATCTATAGGATGTCTCTTGCGGAGTTCCGTCTCCAACTCAAGGAGCTAACAGAGAAGGGTTGGATTCGGTCAAGTACGTCCCCCTACGGAGCGCCAGTTTTATTTGTCCCAAAGAAAAGGGGGACACTAAGGATGTGCATTGACTATAGGGGCCTCAATGCCATCACCGTTAAGAACGCGGAGCGCCTACCACGCATTGACGACCTCTTGGGTACATTGCAAGGATGCCAATACTTCACTAAGATAGATTTGAAGCACAAAACCGCCTTTCAGACCTGGTACGGTCTGTACGAGTTTGTGGTGATGCCCTTTGGCCTATGCAATGCTCCTGGGACATTCCAACACGCAATGAACCGGATCGTTCATGACTACTTAGACAAGTTTATCGTTGTGTACCTCGACGATATCCTTATCTTGAGTAGGACTATAGAGGAGCACGTGAAAACAATGCTAGGGCTCCTAAGACGACACCAGTACAAGGTTAACTTGGAGAAATGTGGATTTGGTCGCACCAAGATCTTGTATCTAGGTCGTGAGATTTTCAAGGATGGATTGAGGCCGGATGATGCCAAAGTGGCCAGCATACGTGATTGGCCCAGACCTCAGTCTGTGACTGACGTGAGGTCATTCTTGGGGATGACAGGCTACTCCAGCCCGTTTGTCAAGAATTATAGTATTGTAGTCTTCCCTTTAACTGACTTCACACACCTTGATACCCTGGGAGTGGACTGAAGAGTGTGAGGCGTCCTTCAAGAGATTGAAGTACGCCCTAACACACTATGAAGTCCTCAAACTTCCGGATCCTGAACAACCCTTGTTGTGATCATATACGCCAGCCAGCACGACATAGGCACGGTCCTTGCGCAAAAGGAGGGGGGAAAGTTGAGGCCGATCGAGGACATGAGCAAAAAGAAACCATCTCAAAAATTAGCTAAGTCCACGTATGAGCGCGAGCTCTATACGCTCTATAGCGCGCTGGTCCATTGGAGGCACGCCTCCTCGGGAGATTCTTTTATGTGAGATTTGACCATGAAACTCTACGCTGGATTAATACACAGCCTGTGCTCTCCGACACACTCAAGAGGTGGATTGAAGTCGTAGATATGTATGACTTCAAGCTCGATCCTCTGAAGAAAGAGTACAATAAAGTGGTTGATGCCCTATCGCGCAGGGCAGACTATTTGGGCGCGCTAGTGACTGAGTTTGGGATTTTTATGATGTAACTCGATATATGGTGTGAGCCTATCCAGCGGACACTATCATGTCTGAGATCATCCGCAAACTAGAAGCTAAAGACAAGGCTACTTCCGATGAGTTTGTGCTGGTTGCCGGCTTGAGAAGGCTGGGAATAAACGTCACATCTTGGTCATTGTGGACAGATTCACTAAGTATGCTAGACTAATCGCTATGCCTGAGCCAACTAGGACTGAGCATGTCATCAAGTTGTTCATGGAAAATTGGGTACATGATTTCGGTCTCCCTAAGTCTATTGTGAGCAAGGGATGTCAAATTCGCTAGCGAATTGTGGCAAAGTACAGCCCAACAGATGGGCACCCGACTACAAATGATAGAGGGAACCACCCTGAGTCAAATGGGCAGGCCGAGCAGATGAACCGGGTAGTGCAGCACTTACTTTGGCATTATATTAAGCCAAGTCAAGATGACTGGGATGAGAAGTTACCTCTCATCGCTAGCCTGTACAACAATGTTGTGCACAACACTATCGGTAAGACCCCCAACCAGCTGCATCTTGGTTGGAAGCCCAGATCTGCTCTTGACTTCCTGTTGCCTGAAAATCAGCCAACCGCAGTGCCTGGTAGCATAGAGTTTGTTGTCAAGTACGAACAGATGCTGCAGCAGGCCGTAGAGCACATCAAGAAAGCTCAAGATGTCATGGTTGCATCCGAGAATAGACACAGACGACTATATGCATTTCAGGTAGGTGAACAAGTCTGGGTAAAGTTATATGAGTTGGGACACGAGTTGGGAATCTCATGCAAACTGATGCCACAATACTTTGGACCTTGGGAAATTTTGGACATAGTAGGAGATCAACCCGATGGTCCATCATATGTTATTCGCATTCTTGGTCATCTCAGTACACTCTCCGTTTTCCATGCATTTAAGTTGGCACCGTTCGCTGAAACTAAAGAGTTTCCCTCAAGAAGATCGATGTTGCCCCCAACCATGGACAGACGTGTGGACATTCACGATATCGTCGAGCACAAGCTGATGCATGTGCCCAACCCTCCAGGCAGGGGACGCCCTCCGAAACCGCAGATGCAATATCGAGTGTGGTCCCGGCATCGTACAGAGCCTAAAGAAGATCGGTGGTTTACAAGAGAATAATTAATGAACACTGCTCCTCAGATTATCTCAAGTTACGAAAGAAACTTGAAACGGAAGCAGCCTGCTGTGTAAGGACTTCTCAGAGGACTATCGAAGTAAAGGAGGGGGGAGTGTGAGGGTTTACCTGAATCTTTTTTTTTTTTTTTTTTTTTTTTTTTTAATAACACCCCCTTCAGTGTTAGTGGTGCTGGTAAGAGCAGACATTGTTGGCACCTGTGGAGAGGCTCCATCTATTGGTGGGGAGCATCACCTGTTGGCAAGCGGGTGCAGCGTCCTATTTACAGAATGACCTTGGATGTTATCGGAACAAGAATCTTGAGAGGTGCCTGCCTGCATTGATTACTCTGGAATCCAGAGGATTGACTGAAGCCTGAGTAGCCTATACCAGGTCAGCGGATAAACTCGATAATCATGTCCAGGTGTTGGTCAATATGGTGGCAGTATCGGAGAGTATCACGTAGTTGGGCAGACGTCTTCCAGTCTTTTCTTTGTTGGTCTCATAGTTGTCCTACCCGAAGCACCCATTGTTTAACCCATCCTTTCCATGATGCCGCTAAGCTGCACAGAACCTGTCCCTGATGGGGTGTGATCTACTGGTTCCCGAAGAGTGGCCGACGAAAGACTTATGCCCATCGGTCAAGGGCAGGTCTGTCCGGGGGTGGAAGTTGTCGCCAACTTTTTAAGAGGGATGGCCATAAGCTATCCACCGTTTGGCCCAGAATCTTCTGAGGTATCGACCAATAATGGTCCTCCAACCACGTAAGAGGGTGCACCCCTTGGGTGGTCGGGGGTGCTAGTCGGCCTACATGCTCTAGAGCCAGGGCCTGCCAGGGGGAAGAAGGGGAGAGGATTAGCTTCTTAACCCACTAGAGGCGGAGTGCTTGTACTTGGGTCTGCGGGTCTATAATGCCCAGGCCTCCCCCCTGTTTGGGTTGAATTACTGACTCCCATGCTACCCGACTGATCACGTTTGTCCGTTCATCATCTCCCTTTCATAAAAAGGCTGCAATCTTGGATCTCAGGGTCTGCAGAGCATGCAGAGCAGTCTTACTCAGTGGCCAGAGCACCGATTTATACCACATTGTGGCAAATACCGCATGGTTGATGAAGAGAGCTCTGCCAAAGATGGACGTGTGCTTGCGCCGCCAACTGGTTAGTTTGGCGAGGGCCGGTGCGCTGATCCAGTTGTCATTCGATGGAAGGCCTCCTTGGACAGACATTGAGATTCCAAGGATCTGGATTGGGGCAATGCATATTGGGCTCATCACGGGGTCTTCCCCCTTGAAAGTGGATCCACCACCCTTGGGTCTTGCTGCCCCAGTTAACCACCATATCCGAGACGCTTGCAAATGCGTTCATTAGTCACTTAACTTCCTTTCATATTTTCCTTCGTTGCGTCGATCATTACAGTCAGATCGTCCGCAAATAAGGAACACACCGGAACAGCCTCTTCCTGGATGCGAGATATTCGTATTCTAGTAATATCCCTATTAGCTCGCAGGTTTGCGGGCAGTGCTTCCATGATGACCAGGAAGAAAAAGGGTGCAATGGGGTCACCTTGCTGCACCGATCTCTCTTATGGAATTGAGGTTGCACTTGTCCAGGAATAACCAGTCCACGTGGTCGTATGCCTTTTCAAAGTCTATAAAAATGAAGGCTGCATTCTGTTTGGATTGGCGGGTGAGTTGCACTAATTCATGGACAAGGAGAATATTTTCCTGAATCTGCTTATGTTGCATGAACCCGGTCTGTGTCGGGTGGATTACCCCTTCTAAGACCGTGATCATCCAGTTTCCCAGCGCCTTCACCAGCATCTTATATGTGACGGTCAAGAGGGTGATTGGGCAGTAGTTTCGAATGTTGAGTTTGTCCCCTTTCTTATACAGGAGGGACAACACCCCTTGCCCCACTAGTTCTCCCATAAAGCCCGTTCGCCATACCTCGTCATAATAGTCCATGAGGTCTGGGCTCAATCAGTCCCACATTTCTTCCCAAAATTCCTTGGGGAGACCATCCAGTCTCGGGGTTTTCTCCTCATCCATCTGCAGCAGGGCGGTCCATATTTCGTCTTTAGTGAGGGGGGGCTCGAGGCAGTTTCTTTGTTCAAGCGAGAGGGTTCTAGTCATTGGGAGGAGAAACTCCGCAATCTGTCGCAGCCTAGCGCCCTCGTCTGTTGGGGGGATGTGGGATGCAAAAAGGCCTTTGAAAAAATCGCGGGCTATCTTCATGCAGCTTGCTGTAGTAAGGATGGGAAACCCCTCGGGCTGTGCGGGGTCATACAGGGCCTCCATCACCGTACGTTTGGTCCTGGCATGGGCAATGCCAAAAAAGTGGGTGTCCATTGTACCTTCAGTGGAGTGCTTAGACAACTTACCTTTGATCCTGGCGCCTTGCCAGCGATATTGTGCTAAATGGAGAAGCTTTTCTCTTACCTCGGTGATGGTCTGTGTGTGTTGTTCCGCCATCTGCGGGTTGTGCTGCTGTTCTAGCTCTTGAAGTTGAGTCATTAGATCAATTTCCTGCTGGTATCGTTGTCTAGCTAGTTGCTTGGAAAACTCACCACATTTTCTGGCCAAATAAAACAGGCCATTGTTAAACCATACCACTGGGAATGGCAGCTGATGGCGATGTTCCCTCCAGTATGCCCACACCTGGGTTAGGTATTGATGTGCCCTGAGTTCGTCAACTTTTGCAAATCTCGGTGGGCGCCAGACTGTTGCCACGCGCCAGTTCGTTACATCCGCCTTGCTCGTGAAAATCCACAAAATATGTGTGAGCCGTCCAGGCTCTTCCAGCAACGTGGTCGAAGCATGAAGCACCGCACATTTGTGCCTGGGTGGTTGGGCATGCCTAACCAATTCGGGCCTGGGTGGTTGGGCATGCCTAACCAATTCGGTCCCAGACCACTGTCTGAACGCGTCTGGGCGCATACAATTTGGCCGAGACTGAAGCTACTGGAAACTCGGTCACAGGTAGCAAGCAAGGGAAAACACCTGCCACTTTCCATATAGGAAGGGCCGGGCTGCGTATGGGGGGGCAAACACTACGTAGTGCGTTCGGCAGCGCTGCGCTCGCGGGCTGTGCGTTGTGCGCTAGTGCAAGGTGCAAGACAGGCGCACACGGGCGTTGAAGAGAGGCAGGGCGCTACTGAGGCAGCGCCATAGCCAGCCCAACCATAGCCAGGCTCGGCTTGGACAGTCAGCGGGAGGTGGCGGTGGTCTTCGTGTATGTGGGAGACGGCGTGGGTGAGAAAGTCGAGGGTGAGGGTGAGAGAGAGAGAGATGAGTTTCATGATGTGAGGGCACGTACCTGGTCTTGGCGATGGTCTACAAGGGTCGACATCCTCATGTACTTCGGTTTTGCTGTTGACGTCAACTGGATGCATTGTCAATTCGTAGGCTGCTAGTAAGTTGCGTGACAGTAGTCTGGGCGCTGAGCGCCAAGTAGGAGGAACGACTCTGGGTACATATGTTGGTGGTGGCGACAGTATGCTCTCATTGACATTCGGATTAAGTGGTTTGGTTCTCCGTAGGTAAAATATCAGTGCATCTCTGCTTTCTGGACAGCGTTGGACTTGCTGGTTTTCAATGTGATTTTCCATTCTGGATCATTTCGCTATATCTCATTTTCCTTGCAAAGGGCATGAAAAAAAAAAACAATAATAATAAAAACAAACCAGTGGCCACCTGATTTTGCCACTTCAGGTTTGAACGGGTTTTAATTGAATTCCTTTTTTTTTCAGCCCTTTACATGCAACCGAGACTTGAATAGGCGCTGGAGTTTCCATGGGGAGAGAGGATTTTTTTTCCCTCCCTTCCCCTCTTCTTGTGGGATCGAAATGTGCATCTGATTTTTCCGAATTGCTGATTTCTTGAATTTCCAACCCAAAAATTCTTCAAAGTTTGGCGCTAGTGGCAGGGGGGTGTGGTGGTTGCGATGGTGGGAGATAACGCGCTCTGCGGCGAAGGGGCTAGCCTGTAGCGTGGAAATAGGATACAGCAGCAGTGAAGACTGTGGCTTCATCACAGTAAGACTTGCCGGAGCAGGGTTGAGAGGGTTGTTCTGTGGGATACCTGCAACCAGCGCCTGAAGGAGCTGGATGATCGGAAGCACAGCTATGACGCTGATTGGTGGTTTGTCTGGTATCTGTTGAAGTTCTGGATCCCGGTGGTTTGCGAATAGATGAGGCCAGAACGATGCTGGTTGGTGCTGGGGCTTGGTCGCGCTGCCCTGTAACTCGAGCTGTACGAGGGCATGAGACCTGGGGAATTGTCAAGGGTGGAAGGCACTCTTGTGTCGACGCTGGCCGGACCTGGGGCGGGTCGTTTTGCCCTGTAGCCTATCAGGTGGGGGTCTTCCGGGGTGGGTCGTGCCACCCTGTAACCTAGCAGTTGGGGGCATCAGGCCTGGTAGAGATTGGGTATCGGGATATAGGGGTGAGGCAAGTAGGGTTGGGCTGCTGAAAGGGTCTAAGGCAGGTGGCTTTCGGTCTGAATGCTTCTTGAATCAATGGTTTGGGGTTAGAGAAAATCAATGTTCTTGTGTAGATCGCATAGCTATGATTCTTAAGCCGAAGCCAGAAAATGGCCCGGTACCTCAAGTTTTCTGCATAAATTTCTCTTCTTTTTTTTTTCTTTTTTTTAATTACTTTTTTTTTTTTTTTTTTTTAAGCCCAGGTTGTTGTAGATTCTGGATTACAGACATATGAGAGTCGCCTTCAACACTCGGTCATGTGGTAGAGCCCCCCTAATCCTATGGGACTCTCTCCCAACCTACCTCTTTCGTCATTTCTCCCGGCACACTCCTACACCCACGATCCTACCTCAGTGTCTACCACTCAGGATCGTCACCCTCCAGCCTGGGGGTGAACTGACCGAACCGCGGTTGTAGGTACCAGGGCTAAGCTGAGTCCCGCACACCCCACTCAGCCCTGATCGAAGCATATTTGAGCGAGCCTTGTCGCCCAGGTACTTCAGGTGCTAGGTACAGACGTTTCACTACAAGTCCCATAGGTGGACCTAT